TGCCCTGATGCGCTCCATCCATGGTAGCTGTGCGAGAAACCGGGAGTGAGAAGGGTGAAGAGGGGTGTAAGACGCCGCAAAATCACGTATGCATATAGTATTTCCAAAAATACTCCTATGGTATTTTAATTATTTATGTTTGAATTCCTGCGAAGTTTTGGGTATGAGGTAAGTTTCTAGGTCAATTTCCTGTCATAATTACTCCCAAACACATGTTGGTCATATTTTGAATAAATATAGTTGATCAGGCTACATTTACCCCTAATATAACCACATAACTGTCCGGGTTTAATCACAGCGTTCCATCTCCTCTAGAGACTTTTAATGTTATAGTTCTAATGTATGCACTTTATTCAGAGTGTTTTAGTCCCATTGTATTTATAGTTGCATATCATGTATGGTTAGATATGCTAGTTCACTATAAACAATGCTCTGATACCAACCTGTCACACCCCCGAACCAGACGGCGGAAACGTCTGGGGGCTTGTGTGACTATCAATTGAAATATCATCACAATGAATATACATGAAACATAACACATTCATCACCAAACATTACATATTACAGCTGATATTGTTCACATCAAGTACATTGTCATAGGTTACATAAATCCAAAGTATTAATAGTACGATGAGTGATGTTACACAAAATAAATCCATACACACTTGAAAATCCTCCTGCTTAACGATTACCTGAGAATACAAGTTATTTTGAAAACGGTCAACATATATAATGTTGGTGAGTTCATAAGCATGTTTGAATAAAAGTCTTTGTATCTTTTGTAAACCCAGAAAATCCGATATTTTCTGTAAAATGTCCGAAAAATGATGTGAAAATCGAGTATAAATGCATGTGTGAATTTCATAGTAGTAACATATAGAAATGCAGTTGAAATTCCTTTGTATTCTTTCTGTTGTATGTAAGTAGTATTTGAATAATAGTATTTCCCCAGAAAATCCGATATTTTCTGATTTATAAAAGTGTCACGGTCCTTGTACTGTAGAAATGTTTTGTATCATTATGAATTACGAGTTTTTAATTTTTCCGTAATGTCTTAATGGGAATGGATCTCAATATGAGTCGTTATAACCATACATGATAGTGACTGATTTGCCTGTCTTGGCATTTTTCCAAATGCCGGATTTTCGTTCAAGGTTTTGTCATCCTAGACTGGCCTAGTCTAACTGTAGCGAACAGCTCAGGTGTGGGGGAGTCACCCCGGTATAGATCTATACACAAACTCTCGATCTCCCTCCAAGAGACTCTGATTATAACTACAAGCTACGACCATACACTCGGTGGTGTCAACCGACACGTCTCACTGGATCCCATTTGTCTTCGCATGAATTTGTATAATGTTATATGTATTTAGAAGTTCGAACGCTAGATGATGTATGAAATGAAAAGATAAGGCCCAACAAACATGAAGAAAAGGCACAATGGCCCATTAGACGTGTAAGTTATTTCCGGGCCAAATTAGCACGTAAATGGGCCATTAAGGCCTAATAACATGTAAATTGCTAAATTAGGCCCATTTAGCATGTAATTAGGTCACTTAGACCCAATAGACATGTGATGAATACATTGGGCCCAATAAACATGTAATTGGACCACAAAGGCCCAATAAACATATATAGCAAATACTAGGCCCAATAATCGCACCATTGTTGTATTTCGTTTGTTCGTTATAGTATAGTTCTATAATTTGAACTTATTTTTAATAAAACTTGCGCTTTAAAACCTCTTAAGAACTAATTTGAGACATTTAAAGGCTTATTTCACAAAAATGTCATTTTTGGTCTATTTTAGTTAAAAATAACATTTCAGCCCATTAATTTTATAAAATTTCTATATTTTCGGCCCAAATGTTTAATAATTGACAGATTTGACTCAAAAATACATGTATTGGCGTTTTCAGCCCATTTTTGCAGAAAATTACATTTTTGACCCATTTTCCGTGAATTTTACATTTTCGGTCCAAATTTTCAAAAACTTTGCATTTTTAGTCCAATTTAGAAATAAATGTTATTTTCACCCCTAAATTCGGTTTATTTACATTTATGGCTCAAACTTTGATCAATTGACATTTTCAACCTCAAAACTCTTATTTTTCGCAAATTTGGGCCCAAAAGCGTGAGGCCCAAATATTAAGCCCATTAGGCTAAAATTTACACTTTTGGCCCTTTGAAAAGTAGGGTTATCATAAAAAAGCATTTTTATATAAGTATGACCTGTTTGATCCTTATAAAACCGTAAATGTCACTTTTTGCCCTTATCTTTTGTTTTCTTGACAAATATGACCCTTAACAAGATTTTTGCTTTAAATTTTCATATCTTAAACATGTAAACATTTTTAACTTGACGCTATAATGTATAAGGTGTCTTAGTTCATGGACTTTTACTCAATGTTGCTTAAGATGTCGAGATGTGTTAAGATCTAACACCTTTTTACAAAATAAACTAAGAAATCACACATGACATGCATAAAACACATAGATCTACACATTTTACTTGTATTCTCCCCCAAAAATCATGTAAAAACCGAAAACAAGGGGGTATGAACTCACCTTTGCTTTGATGTTTCGGTTTTGAAGAAGAAATAAAGAGATTTTTGGTCCTAGCAACACCTTGAAGTAGTTTTCGAGCTTATGGAATATCTAAGAGTGTGATCATGGAATAAAGCTATGTAAGAAGGAGTTCTTAATGTTAAATTGAAAGGAGATGTTTGTGTTTGATAATAACTAACCAAGGATGGTGATTGTGGTGAAAAATCCTCTTGTAAACACCCTAAATCTCGAAATTTTGAGGGATGAAGGAGGGTTTGTTCTTGAGAGTGTTTGAGAGTTTATTTGAGAGAAATTTTGCAAGTAAAGTGTGTGTGTGTGCTCTTCTCGGCCGAGAGATAAAGAGAGAGAGAGGGTGAGGGGATTTTGCATGGAAACATGAGAAGTTCCTAGTTATATGTTGTGTATTATGCATTGTTGTCCTCTAAACAATAATGATGTGTCATGGCTTGGGTAATTAGCCATTTTTTTACATATGGGCCAAAATAGGGCAATTATGGGAAAGCTTGGGCCTTATCTTGGTCCTTGCTCGAAATTATGAAGCCCATAGAGAGGTTTTCAGCCTATTGGGCCTTTAGGGTAGTTCACGGACCAATAAAAGTCCATTAGGTAGTTTTATGGCTCTTTAGGGTGATTGGAGTTGTTATGGCCCAATAAGGCCCATTAGGGTTAGAATGAATCATTCTAGGCCCACATGTTTCAAAATGTTATAGATTTATGAATTGGGTCCATTTAGAATACAAATAGGGTTTCTAAGCCCAATGTGGTTGAATTAAATGCTTATTGGTCCATTAGGCCCAATAAGGAAATCCTAGTCCATAATGAACTTGAACCAGAGTCTCTAGGGTTTTCAACTCCCCAATTGACACTTTGTGTAGAGTTTTGAACTTCACTTGTGAACCTTGATTAAGTTTGTGGTCATAGAATGAACATAGTGTATGATATCAAGTTAGGGTTACAAGTATTATCATAGATGAAGTTTACATGATTACAAAATTTTCCTGGCTAAAATTACCAGTTGTGACACATTCCCTCCTAACCTACTGAACCCACTGCCACATCACTTTATCTCTTCTATTTTTCTTTATCTTTCCCAATCCACAACACACTGAAATCCTATCTTTCTCAACCGACTCAATTAAAAAAGATACAAAACCACTAAGCTACAAGTTTTAAAACACATGGAACAAGAGAAAATGAGAGAGAAAAAGTAGAGAGAGATGATGAAGTGGGTTGGTGAAACCAATTAAACAACCCGCTGAAGCGGGAGTAGTACCGACGGTAACTCTATTGTTAATTAAGATTTTACCTTGATTGTTTTGTATTTTTTTTAATTGAATGGGTTAAGTGGGTTCATAAAGATAGAGTTTCCGTGTGTTGTGGGTTGGGAAAGATGAAGAAAAATAAAAAAGATAAAGTGATGTGACAGTGGGTTCAGTGCGTTGGGAGGGAATGACTCCCTCCTCCCTAAATGTGCGGCTTATATTTAAGGAAACTTCTAGAATTGGAAAAGTATGAAAAACAATAACTATTAGTTTTCAAGTTTTTTTTCTTTTTCTTTTTTATAATTTTTGAAAATGAAAATTTCTTGTTTCTTAGAAATAATATAAAAAAAATGTTAAAGAAAATGTTTTTTCATTTTTCTTTTTTTTTTGGAAAACAAGTTATTTTTCCATAACTTAACATATCCTAAATTTTTTCAAACTATTTTCAAACTGATTCGAACCGGTTCCTATAGATTCATTAAATTATGATAGAACTTGTTATTATTGTTGTCATTATCCAAATTATGGTATGTAATACAAAAGCATTACTTTGATAAAGACATGAACATCATTATCAATAAGACTATTTGAGGTACATAGAGAGTATGTGTATTTTGTACTTGTGCCATACTGCATATAACTCCAAAAAGTGTTCTTTTAGGGTGGGAAGGTAGAAATGGGTTGATTTGTTTATTTAAGATGTTTAATAATTTATCATGAGTAGTAAATAGTATTAATAAATGATTTAAAAATGCTTATGATACGTAGTAAACCAATTTACTCTCTTACCAATATTTTAACTTAAAAATCATATGGATTGTATACCATTTTCTTTTCTTTTTACATAACCAACTATACATACATATCAGTTAACCCTTGTCAGAGTTTTCAGTTTTTACAGATCCACCAACTTGTTGCTATGATTTGTGGAGTTTTCAGTTTTCACTAATACTTAAAAAAAATGGTTCAAATTAGCAATCCCAAACACCCCCTTAAAAGTCAAGAAAATCTCTATTTCCAAACTCCTAAAGTTTTTGACAGTTTCTATGTCAATGCAAATTAATCGTATTAACAATAAAGGTTTACCATAGAAGAAACAGTTGAAAGAAGTTAAAAACCAAACATTCTAGAAGAAAAAGTTAAAACAAAGAGGACCACATAACAATATAATGTCCGCAACCACACAAACAGGGACCATAGAAGAAACAGTTGAAAGAAGTTAAAAACCAAACATTCTAGAAGAAAAAGTTAAAACAAAGAGGACCACATAACAATATAATGTCCGCAACCACACAAACAGGGACCATATAAATGAAAATTGATTAAACAATTAGAAACCATATAAAAGAAATTTCATTAGGTCAACCGTAAAAACAAGAAATAAAACAAAAGGATCAAACACCATCATGAGATACACCAACACCATCCTCTATGCTGCTGCCGCCGCCATTGGCGGTGGTTGTGGTGGCCGGAAAAGAGCTGTTTACGATTTGATTATGTTTTTTGGAAGATCCCTTGGAAAGGTTGACCGGGTACTTAATGGCGTTGACTTGTAGTTTTCTAAGTGCAGCTTTCCCAAGATCAATACCACAAATATCCGATAGCCTGATTAGATATAACAACACATCTGATAATTCCTCCCCGAGATGTTGTTTTTCTTCATCTTTCCAATCCGGAAGCCCTTTTGGTACCTCGCCTTTCCATTGAAATATCTCTGATAACTCTCCCACTTCCCCCACCTGAAATAAAACAAAACATGCTTCTCAGTGTTTCTACTTTTAAAGTTATTTTTCCAGTAACCTTTTGAGCTGGCCCACACTCTGGTTGGGTTGGGTTGAACTGTTTAATTAAACAGATTAAATTTTAGCATTTATGTAAAATAAAAAAGTTTCGACGACAAAATTAAAAACACAACCACAACTTAAATGTTGAAATAAGATTCTAACTTTGTAAGATTCTAGGGTTTTATTTTTGTACTTTTATAATTTACTAAGATCAAATAAAATCTACAATGAAAATAAATACATATATTTAAATAGGTTGGTGTTAGGTCAAAAACCTAACACAACCTATTTATTATACAAAGTTGATCTGATGGGTTGAAATTTCAACCCTTCGACCCAACCAGCTAATTTTTGGTTGGGTTGATTGTTGACAATTCTATAAATATCTTATAGAATTGTGCTATACGTACCCCCCCCCCTTCCATTCACAATGAGGGGTACACAAAACATTATTCCCCTCACATTGGGGGGTACGTATAGCAATTGCCTATCTTATACTGCCACTATTGAGATTCAAACCCTAATATTCAAAGCTATATTTTAAAGTATTTTTAACAACTACTCGTATATAAGGTTAAAAAAAGAATATTGTAGAAGCAAAAAAAAAATGTCACTTTATGTAAGTAGATGGATATTTCAACAAAGAAAAATTAACCCACTTTTGAAGTGGTCCTACAACAACCAAAACAAGGCTGCCTTTACCAGGCAGTGTCTTTTTCTCAGAAGCAGACAACTGCCAGCTTTAATCACCCCCAAACATTTACCACAAATGGTTTATATGGTTTAATGTGTAAATAACTTAAAATTTTAATTATATCAAATGAAGATTCATCATATTAATCTACAAAGATTAGTCTACAGTAATTAAATCATATTACAGCAGTTGAAATATGTAGTTTCAGTCTTCTTTCTTAATCTTTCATTGCATCAATAATATCATATGTAAGAATAACATATCATTCAAGCAAAAAAGCTAATGGTTTTGGGCTTTGGCATATATAAACTAACATATAAATAACATCATCAGAACTTTTAATACTCAACTAAACCAGAAACTAATCCTCAATCTGGATTTGAATCTAATAAAGATTGGGGATTTTGTAATTAGCAGTGTATATAGCTGTGATTAGAGTAAATTAGAGGTAATTACTCTGATCACAATTATAAACCCCTAATTACAGCTACTGATTTCAAAGAATTATATACTTTTATAGAATCTCATATTAATAAATTGGGATTATTAAGTCTAAATTTTTTTGGACATTGCATGTGACATGGGGTGTGATGGGGTGCCACGAAGCAAGTACTGGTCCATTGATGCACCTCAATTCTCATAACCTTTTCCCCAGAAAAAAGGAAAAAGAGGAAAAGTAATCCATTCCAAAAAAAAGGGTTTACTTTTCAAACGTAAGCAATTTATTGTTTTAACTTCAAAATCCCTTCTGTATGCTGAAACAGCAGAGTAAATGTTGCTTCATAGGAAATAGTACAAACTTTAGAGGTAAATTTACAGCGAACTCGTGAAAATTTTGTGTGCGAAGCAATGGATACTCGGTTTGAAATCGACGAATAGGTTTTTGGAAGTTTTAGTCACATCGTAATTGGTATTTTTTGGATATGAATTGAAATGCGTGAAATCAAAGCAATATTTAGGAAGATAAATTTACAGAAACTGAAACTCAGACATTAACACTATAGACAATAAGAATAAAAAGCTTCTACAATCGATTCTGCATTCGTAATCAATCTGAACGGGTGAAACGTAAATTCAAATAAATGACTAGATTAACTGAATCATGTGTACGCGAGAATATGACAATGAAAAGAGGAAGCATAAAGCAAGATCGGAAAATTTTACCAGTGCGAGGAGGAGATTTCGTGGACTATGAAACTGATCCCAATCTCTTTCCTTTGCGAAATCGGCCATTCTTTTCTTTAAGTCAGTCAAGCTTACATCTTCTTCTCTATCTTTTGGAGTGGTGATATCTCCGGCTGCCGTTGAGGCGAACGATTTTTCTGCTCCGCCGCCCATTGTTGTCGAGGGTGAGGAACACGAAGAAAAAGGTGACCAGAAGGGTCTTGATATAAGCTTTTTGTATTGAAAGTGACCGGGATTCGGTTACCGGATATAGCCGGTTACCCTTAAATTCTTTTGCCACGTGTCAAACATACTAACCTCGGGGCCTTTTAGGCCCTACTCATTTTGTTTGTTTTGTTACCAATTTTTTTTTTCTTTAGTGTGGAATTTGCTAGAGTAAATAGCATTAAATTGGTACAACCACAGCATTTATCAGCATGATTCCCTTAAATTTAGGATATCATGATTACACAAAAAGTCTATATTGATGAATGTTTATGATTTTATCTTTTTAATATTTGTATTTTTAAATATTGCTGATTAGAAAATAAAATTTGATATATCAATTATTCATTTATCTGATTAAGAGGGTGTTTGAGAGAGTTTAATTAAAATGATAAACATTTTTTAAATTATTAGTTTATTAACTTATAGTGGTATCAAAACGAAGTTTTTATAAAAGTTTTTGGAAGCTTTTGATAAGTTAGTGAGAAGTAACTTATCAGAAAGACTTATCTCCGGTATGAAACTGTTGTAAGTTATTTTTAAAAAAAATCTCTATCCAAATACTAGTTTTAGGTTATATCGATGTGAAACTGATAATAAGTTAAAAAGCTTCTTAGATAAACTTAACGAAACACTCTCTAAGTCATCCGTTAATTTGTTGATCAATTTGCCTAGTAATTTTATTATTATATATATATATTAAAGTTGTGGAAGAAATAAATAGTAAAGTTGGCATACTTTGTCCATGTTTGGTCCCTTAATTTACATATCCGGTCCATGTACTTCTTTAATTAATTTATTTATGTCATTTTGTTTGTGTTCCATTTAACTTCTCATTTTTTTGGCAGAATTGGTCCCTGTATTATTGTTGGAAATTATGAATACTAAATTTGGATGTTTTTTGGCAACTTTGCTCATTATTCTTTACCCATTTTGACACTTTTGGTCCTTCCAATCAATATTTTTACACTCTTTTGGAACCTTTTAATATTTAAAGTTTGGCCACAAAACTTTAACGGTTTGACAACTTTGATCCTTTTTCTAAAAAGTTGCTAATTCCTACCTCTTTAATTCTTTAGCCATTTTCACACTTCTGGTCCTTGCAGTCAAAACTTTTACATTTTTTGTCCGAGGCAAAGCCCGGACTTTTCATCCTTGCACTTTCTATGTCTGTCATATTTATCAATTCGGAAACAACATTGAAAGCTTCTGGCCCCCGCGTAGCGGGGGTAACCTTTCTAGTTATTATTATTTTTTGACGTAGCATTTATTTGATACATATTTTGTATGTCATTTTTAAAAATCAAAATATAATATTTGATCAGTTAGATTTTTTGATAGCATATTATTTTCCATAAACTTTTAAAATATCATATCTGTCCAAATTTTTTATATAATATTTTATAATCATTTTTAGTCTTATATTATTATAATAATTAATAAAGTAGACCATGTTGTCCATACTTCTATAGTAATGTAACATCTTCTAAATTGTTGGAATGTCGGCATTTTGACAAACACAATGCTTAATTTTTTTTGATTATTTTGATGTTGTAGATGAGGGATAGTTTAGATATTACTCTTGATATTTTAGTGTTTAAGAAGATAATATATGATACTTTGATATTTGAGAATGATATATATGATATTTTGATGTTTAAAAAAGACATACGATATTTTGAAAGTTTATGAAGAGTAAATATTATATTTTATAAATTAGGTTGGACAAATATGATATGTTGATGTTTAAAAAGAGCATATACTAAATTATCATTATTTGGAGTATCGATATCTTTTACGCTTTATTTCATAAAACACTTTAATAACTTTTTTTCTTGTTTTATACCTAATTTTTTTTTCTCAAAATAAACTTAACTTTTTACTTATTCCTTGTTATTTCATTGTTGGAGTTTGTTACCAATAAATAAATTAGGTTTAATAAAGGAAAACCCTATATTTATCCTTTTTCCCATTTAGACCATTTTTTTAAAAATAAACCTAACTTTAACATATTCCTTATTATTATTAAGTAGAGTTGGTTAGCAACAGGTAACCCTATATCCCTTAGCTTATGTGCGTCCAAAGCATCGACATATCACCTTCGTACCAAAATCATGGCTAAACTTGAATATACATATGCAATGAATGATCTTGGACCTCTTAGTATTTTCTCAGTGTTACTGTTTCCTGCCATATAAATGGATTTTTTATGTCAAAAAATAAGTGATACTGAAGTATCGGAACGAGATGGAATGTCATCCTGCAAACCTACCACATGAGTGGATTGTTTTTATGTTTAAGGTCCTCTTGATTACAGTCTTACACTCTATAATAGTCCGTACATATATTTTTTCCGCATATATTGACGTCGATTGAGCTGGATGTATTGACATAAGTCGAGACTGAATACTGAGGTGTTAGGGATACACCTACCGACACAACAAGTTAGTGACACACTTAATAAATGCATGTGTCTATTAGGTTACACACTTAGCTGAAGACTGATAATCAATAATAAATAAATAAAGGGATTGATTTGTTGCTTATTAAATAATAATGGAATAAGTAGTAATTATGGAGAAAGGGTTTTATGTATTAATGGCTAAAAGTTTGTATTAGGGCTTTATCTTTATAATTGACCAAACTGGGGGGGGGGGGGGGGGGGGTGTAGTAAAGGCTCCTAGGTTTTGTGACTTTTAGCATGCAAGATCAAAGGAGGCGACTAATAAAAGGCTAATTTGATCCTTTCCTCACTCAAATTTCTTATTAGAGGCTGAAGAACCTTTCCACAAGGGTTTAGTCCAATTTTACTTAGAGCATAAAGAGAAAGTCATGTTTATTTGAAGTCAATGGGAGTGACTACAATAGATGAACTCTATTGGGTTCTCCAGTTTCTTGTTGATTACGAGTTGAGGAAATTGTGTATATATTGTGTAGTATTTTAATCATGATTGCATAAAGTTGAACAAACATATATCCATGATTGTTTTAAGATGTTTTGTTTGATTTGTTTTTGAGATTATATCTTTATATGATTTTGTAAGCATCATAACCCAACACGGGGTGTTGCTAATGTAGTTTTTGAAACATGTTGGATTACATAACCGTTTTGAGTTTTTGTTTCCTATTACTAAGATTATCTTTATTTATTTTAAAAATGTAAGTATTGTTTATCTCTAGAGTTTTAAATTTTGTTCTTCCTTTAGGTGATTGATATTTATGACGCATGTGAGTTGTCTATTATTGTTGGTAACTGGTTCTAAGAATGAAATAAGAAGCGATAGGTAAATGCTAGGTTTATTTTAATAGAAAAAAATATTTTAGGTCTAAAATGGAAAATAGAAAATATATAAGATATTTCATGAAATAAACCTAATAGGGTTACGTGTTAGTAATTGCTACAGGTATGAAATAACAAAGAATATGTAAAAGTTGGCTTTTTAAAAAAAATAAAATAAAATAGGTCTAAAATGAAAAACAAATAAGGATATTTTATGCAATAAACCATATTATTCTAATAATATAGGAAAAAAGCTTAAAGTGATATATTTATCAAATAAGGAGAAAAAGTAATGATTTTTTCGGCACAATCCAATGATTTTCAAAATTGAAGATTGAGTGTCTTTTGACTTAGTTTGGTATGTCCTCTTATTTTTTTTATATTTTCTTAAATAACTTATTTTTAAATTTTATTAATTATTAAAATAGAAAAAATATCTGACCCCACCTCACCCTACCCCACCCCACATTGTGTACGTTATATTAAACCCATCATCTCTACCTCACTGTTTACAAATCTTGAGGCCTCTTGAAAACCCTAAGCCACCACTCCTAGTCCTACCCCTCCTAAATTTATCTTCCTTTCTCTATAATTTAAGTTGTCCTCGACTTAAACACATATTGTGTGAGTCAAATATTTTAAAAAATATACTCTAATAAATGAAAATCTTTTTGTCACATGTCACACTCTCATTGATTTGATTACATATCATTTTGTGGTTATTTTCAATTAAAATTTTTTCACATGACATTTTATGGTTTTTTTTATTTTATTTTATCATATTCCACATAATATTTAAATGTAATAATAACAATAAATGCATATCAATTTTATTAACTGACTTTACTTTTAATTTTAAAATTTCCAAATATAAACCTCATTAGTTTCCTTTGTTTATTTATCTAAATTATTTGTTTAAATTTAAAAAAAGAAAAAAACACATTAATTTTAATAATTCAATATTTTTCTTTCAAACTTTTAAATGTTTAGAATTTCATATTTAATTTTTCTTTTAAATGAACCCATATAATAAATGGGTTTTACACCTAGTTAAAAACCTATTTTCAAAACCAAATCCTAGTTTGCGGAAAATATAGGTCCCACGTCATCAAATGTAAAGTTTAAAGTAAACTTTTAAAAAAGTACAAGGGTATGTCAATCTAAAATCATAACATAAAAGTTGAGTAAAATAACTACATCATAACGTGGCCTTATAAATATTTGTGACTGCATCAGTCATTCTTACCTCTATGTTGCTTGAATACATGTCAAAATACATAGTTTAGGCTTCAGAAACATGGTGAATACAACATCGGTTCTACATCTTATAGTTAAATAAATTTGCACTTTCCTTGAACCAATGCATAACCCCAAAAACATTTTAAAAACATATTTGATAGTAAATGTCTTAAATAAGTGAAGAGAAGCATTAAAAGTAAAATAACAATTACAGGTAATGTATACTTATTGTTTTTTGTTTTTGAAACACTAAATTATGACCATATATTGAAAGCACATTTTCTAAAAATTACACATGTGGACTATCATCTTACTTCTTTAAAAGACTTTATAATAGATAAAATATGTCTTAAATAGTATGCAAATGAACAAGATCCTAATGTTGGAAAATTTAGTATAAATATTTATATTTTTACTAACTTTGGACATATATAAAAATATACATATGTTACATATATAATTAACTTTAAGTGGGTTTGTGT